CAATAATTTTGGTCCATATGGTTAACAACTTAGCATATAATGTATATTCATTTCATCTCCGTTAAATTCAGTCAGTTATTATGGATTTATGGTTAACTTCAACTCATACCACATCAAATCTTTTACTCCTTTTCAACAACACAAATTATTTGCAAGCAAGAATAGTGTATCTCAATAATAATACAGTCAGACTTGTCATCTTATATAGATACATTGTTAATTAACTTCAATTCATATATACCACATCAAATTGTTAAACAACACGCAAAGTATCTCCAAGTAAGCATAGTATATATGTATAAAAAATGATGTAACCAAGCCAACTGTATCTAAATTATCCATGTTGTATTTGATTAGCTACTACTCCCTCCATTATTAAAAGATGCATACAAAAAATTGTTTCAAAAATACATTTTTTTTTATATTTTCAATACATTTTATCAACTGGTATGAAAAATATGAATTTCAAAAACATTAATTACATTTCTTGAAATTTTATTGATCTAAAAATATAGGTATAAAATTACAAAAAAAAATTATACATCAATAATTAAGTTTTAATATTCCCTCTGTTTCTCAAAGATTCATATTGTAGGAGCAAAATTATTTCAGAAGATGCGTTTATAGATTTTCAATGTATTTTTGTCAACTAATAATGAATTATGAATTTCAAAAATATTAATTGCATTTTTTGAAATGTTATTGGTATAGAAATATAGGAAATATAAAATTATAAAAAAATATGTATTATTAACTAAATTTTAATATGTTTTATTAATACATGTGAAAATTTTAAAACATGTAATATTTTAAAACAGAGGAAATATGTTTTAAGTGTGAAAATTTTAAAACATGTATTATTTTGAAACGGATGAAATATAATTTTTAATCGGAGACCAAATCTTTTTATAAAATTCGATATCTGGATTTCATGCTTTGACACGGTCACACGAAATAAGGAATATTTTATTATATTTTAGTTTAGTTTTGCTTTTAAAAAATTTAGTTGAATGAAAGTCACTTAATTTTGCATATATTTATCGATATTTTTGGTGCATAATAGAAAATGGCTCAACACTATTAGGCGAGAACTTACCAATCAAAACAAAAACTAGATTTTAACCCGCGCAACCGCGCGGGTGTTTATTTTCGTTTATAGTTAGTTATATAAACATTTTGCTTTCACGTGTAAATTGGTATATATTATAGTAATCACATATTTACGATATGTATAGTAAATGTTTTTCAAACGTAATAATATTATATAATATGTGTTTTAATCAAATAGATTGTTGCAAATTTTTTATATGTGTTTATTTCTTCTTCTATATTTTATTGTTTGTTAGATTGGTATTTCATTTTTAGATAAATCAATATAAATTGAGCTTGATTAAATATAAGTATACTTTACTTTGCAAAGATAATATAAACTTCGAAGAATTTTTTGCTAAAAACTAAACTTATAGCTTCATAAATTAATATTATAAAGAATTTTATTAAAAAGGCAGTTTTTAAACAATTTCTTTTTTGAAAAAATATATAATTTTAAAAATTTACATCGAAATAAATTTATAAAAAATATATATATATGGTGTAAATTTTTTTAGGGTATGTAAATATTCCATATTACTAATCTTTGATTTTTGTTAATATATTGTGGATGCATTTAACTATTATTGACATATTTCCTTATAAATAATAGAAGATTCCTAAACTTATATCTATTGACATATTTTGTGTGACTAAGTTGGAAGGTGTGGAATAATTTACCAAAACCAAATTGTTAAGCGTATCTTTGTTATTATAGATATGATTTTTCATAAGATATAATAATGATAAGATTATTTGAGAATTAATGTAACATAACTTTCTAGTAATAGTCCATTTTTTAAAAAAATCACACATGAAATCAAGTCATGACTTCTGTTTTAATATATAAGATTATTACTAGATAAAACAACATTATTACTGGTATATAATTCACATTTTGACAGAAAATTGAGACTACCCCTCCATATCCTTTGTGATATAAAGAAAAAAATATGTTCCAATAATAATCACTTTGATCATGGCCCAAATCATTCCCACCCATGGAAATGATGTTCATCATCAAACCCTTTTTTTAAAGAATAACAATAATAATAAGGTAGACCCATATCAAACTAAAAAACTAAACTAAATAATCATTTCCTTCTTTCATAGCAATAACATAAATATTTGATCAATCAACAAATTCTCAAAGTCACATTCTTTCAATTAAAAAAAAAAGGATCACTATGGAACTAGCACTAGCATTAACATCAACTGATCATCATCATCAGTTGAGCAATAATCCATCGCCTTCAGAGGCACATCCAGACACTATGGACTTTTTATCTCGAGAATGGTGTAATTTTGCTGTTCAATCGCTGCAGCCTGATCATATCATCTACGACCGTTCCATTGTTCCGGTAGAGACATCGATCGCCAAGTTTCAAGGCGACTCAAGTCCTGTAAGTAACCAGAGATTGTTTTTGTTTATAAGTGATTCTTTCTTCAAGTTGTTTTGGTTAGTCTTTACTAATCAAGAAGATTGTAAAAGTAGAAAATGGATAAGAGTATGAAGATGGACGATCCGGATTTTAAGCCCTCGATGCCCTCATGGAAAGCCAATGATGTCAAGGTAAGCATATTATGTTGAACTTATAATTAGAAAAATTATAACAGCAAAATGAGAAATACCATTTCTCTTCTTTGATTTGTTTTTTTTTTTGTATGTACATGCATATTTGTCAACATACCCTTCCTATTAAAAAACAACAATTTTTTTTGTTTAGTTTTATTGGATCGACGATCTAATTCTCCACGAAAAGTATCATATAGCACCAAATGTCCACGGAACTATGACCTCGTTCTATTTACCCCCGAAAATAAAGTTCGAAACCTATTTCCCCAGCAAATTAAAATTATATCGATATTTTTCCATAATTATAAAGATTGAAATCTAAAAACCCACAAAATCGATTTTTATTGGTTTACTATTTGTAAGCAAACCGTAAACCATGTTAAGCAAATAACTAATCGTATTAAGATCTAATCAGTCGGATCTTCTTAAGTCTGAATGTTGGATCGGGTTACTGTTCTGATCCATTGGTCGGATTTTTTATTTTGTTTTAATTTAGTTTTGTTCAGTTTATTATATGAGAGTGGAGATTTGAAATTCGATTTCAAAAATCATAACTAAACCAAATTTGATGGAGAAATAGGTTTCAAACTTTATTCTCGGGGGTAAATAGAATGAGGTCATAGTTCCGTGGACATTTGGTGCTATACGATACTTCTCATGGGAAAATAAATCGTCGACCCAGTTTTATTTGATGAACATATAGGCTGGTGAGTGATGAATACCTGGTAAGTTAATGGAAACATAGAGAAACTGAATAAAGTTTACATAAGATAATGACATGTAGATAAATGGGAAAAAAAACTTCAAAAATTATGTTATATTGAAAATATTTCTGTTGAATGATGTGAACAGTCATGGATATGGATGCAACAAGCAATGCACCCGGAACTGAGCTACGAAGGCTTCTTCCGCAAGAAACTTGTAAAACCCTATTTAACCATTTCTTTTGGTTTAATTTAAAAATAAACATGTTGATTCTCTAAATCAAACAATAATCTGTAGAAACTTCCATGGAAGATTACGCCGTCCATAAAGAAATGGTGGAAAGAGATCAAAGCAAAACGAAAGGAAGAAGTGAGGCTGCAGAGAGCTGAAGTCCACGCTGCGGTTTCGTTAGCCGGTCTGGCCGCCGCTCTAGCCGCCGTAGCTTCCGAGAACGCCGAAAAAGACGGTGGCAATAAACAACCAAACACAAAAGAGACAGCCGTGGCTTCCGCAGCGGCGGTGGTGGCGGCGCAGTGTGCTCAGATGGCAGAGACAATGGGAGCAAACAGAGACCAGCTCAGTACAGTGATTGGTTCCGCTATGACTGGAACTAGTGTCAGTGAGATTATTGCTCTCACTGCCTCAGCTACAACTTGTAAGAAGAAGATTTAGTTTTTTTTTATCTTTTTTTCTAGAAAGATTTTCTGTTTTTTGAGTCATTGGTTTTTGGTAAATAAGCTTTGAGAGGTGCTGCGACGCTAAAAGCAAGAAGAAGTTGCAATATCAATAGATTGAACGGCTCCGCACCTGTCTTACCTATTGAAGGATCCTCTGATTTGCCTCCTGAATTTGACAAGAACACGTACCTTCTTGCTCAAGGAACCGATCTCTTTGTTGAGACACCAGATGGTATATAAATCCAATAGTTAACTCTTCTGTTTCGTTGAGAAACTAAATATATATATATATATATATATGGCTATGTTTGGCTTGGATCAGGGGATTTCAAGGCTAGGACAGTGTCTATAGTCTTAAACAAGGACGGTCAGGTCTGGATTTTGGCTCCAATACTCATTACTATTAACCAATAATGGTCATTCATCATTTATCTTGGGGTTTTTTTGTACACAGGTGATTCTTAAAATGAAGAAGCATAACTTACTCCGGACTAAAAAAGAATGTATGTAGCTAGCTTCTTAAACCCTTGTGTTTTTTTTACCTAACTTAATCTTCAAGCTAAGATTTCAAGACATTAAGTATTTTGTTTATGCCATGTGCTAATTAGGTATTGTGAGGAATGTTCATGTGGAACTTTATAAAGACTCGGAGAGCGAAGACAACAACATAGAAGACACTTGTTATCTCATTGTCTTGAAGACGAACAGAGGAGCTATGAAACTAGACATGGCTGATGATTACGTTCGTTACAAGACATGGATCACAACGATCCAACACATGCTCACTCTCTCCTCTTCTTCCTTCCGTACAAAATACGATCTTACTTTCTACAACAAAAACTGAATTTCTTTTACATTTGTATTTCATTTTCTATATTTAATTTGCATGTTTATTTGACCTCCTCTTTTGTTGTTATAATATAATGAATAAGAACTTGAGAACTTACGTTCTTTTAGACTCCACAAACATCAGCTAGCTTTCTAAGTAAAGTAACCTTAGATTTGAGAAGCATGAGATGCTGAATTGACTTGAGAATCAAGGCTTCCTCCTCTTCTACTTCTTCACAACCTGGTATAATCCTACGAAGAATCGTCAGGTTTCTCCGCATACAAGTTTCACGAAACTTCTGTTTCTCCTTACGTTCCCTACGACCATGTTGCTTGATCTTCTTGCACTTCACCATCTTCACGTTTCTTACACTACGGACTTATAATTAGATACAAGGCCTTTATATAAATTGTGAGGATGGCGAAAATATGGAACAAAACAAGTTGTCTGGAAAAATGTTAGACAAAAGGAGACAAGAAATCCATATCAAGACCATAACCACTGAACCTGTCCCTGCCAATCCATCCTTGCAATGTTTAGTGTTCAATGTATCTGTCTGTGGTCCTCATGTCTTACATTATGCCATTATTGTTGTTTAAATTTTAGAATGGTTTCATTTGGTATATGAGTTGATTGAAAAATAATATGGGCCGAGTGATAACAAGAATACAGGGTTCACATTAACTCAATTAAGCCCATCATCACTTGAGATCTTTCAAATGCCCTCTCAAACTTATTCAATTTCATTAATGCATCAAGTACGGTGGGACTGATCTTGTTGTTCAGATCAAAGCTGTTGTCTTTGGGAGAGTTCGATGATCGGCCTGATGAAACAGAGAGAAAGGTATCAGACTTGTGATTCATGTTGTATCGAGAAAGATTCAGGTGGAGGGAGGGATCAGAAAAGAAAAAACAAGTGATGAAAGTGAGTAGTTTGGGATGTAACGTTAGAGAAAATCCCACGAGCATATGTTAATGCATATACATAGTTTTTTTTTATAATAATGCATATACATAGTTGGGTTATTGTTTTGTTGTGTTTAGAAAATGCCAAGTCAAATAAAAAAGTTAGATTAGATCGACGATATTTAACCTTTTGAGAAATTGAAACCGAGATACAATATAATATATTAGGCAACTTGGCTTTTAAAAAGATTAGAAAGAGGTATATTTAGAAAGCTTGGCTTACATGTTCAATTCAAATTGGCTTGTCAATACAAGTTAGATAAAATCATAAAATAACGAGTCCATAAATCATTTTTTTAAAACGATTGTAAAACTGATTTAATATAAATATCTTACAAATTCATCTTGTTTGAGTTCTATTTAATGATCATATATGAAAATAGACTAGAAAAGAAATATGAGATATTTGAATTCACATAGAACAACAACTTAGCAAAAAGAAAAAAGGGAACGTTAAAACACCTCCAATAAAGGTTTTTATGACGGGGTTCTTATCAGAATATAAGAACCCGTCCCAGTGCATCAAAAGGTTTTATTAACATCAATGCAACACAACATCGTATTGTCAACATAGTCGATAAATCTCATCATCAGTGTATACGATTTACGAGCTACCTTAGACTATATACAATGGCCACATGAATTCAACACCCTAATTTACACTTTTCACTATCCACATCATATTCTCTTTCTTCCACATATTAATTCAACACACATACAAATTTTATGTCTACAATGATTTTGTTGAAAAAGATTCAACACTCTAATTTATAATCTTATTTTTATAACTTAATAGCTACATTAATTTAAAATTGATTGTTACTAAATGAAATAATTAAAAATGACAGTCTTAATATTTTTTATTTTATTTTTATTTATTTACTATTTTTAAAAAATCATATTAAAATAAAATTATTAAAACAAATGTACAATAACATAATTGAATTCATAAAACTAATATTAGTAAAAATATAAATTATAAAATTAACATTTTTATTCTATATCCAAATGAAATGAAACTAGTATCTATTTATAGATCTTTAAAAATGATGAATTTTAGTAAACTTTTTATTTTTTAAAAAATGTATTTTACTATAAAATATTAAGTTTAAATTATTAGATGGAAATAAAATGAACAAAAATATGATAACCAATAGTAATAGAGCATGAGTCAAAGTGGGTCCTGATTTTTTTTGCTTTTAGCTAGTTGAAAGTATTCAACACTTGTGAATCCATGTATGTTTTTTTCAGTTCAACATCTATCTTACAATGGTTTAAACAGTTGAATAAATAATTCAACATGCCCATTGTAAATGGTCTTACAAGAGAATGAAAAGAAAGTCAAGTTACCTAGACTATTTACAATGGGGATATTGAATAAAAGATTTGATTGTTGAATCACTACAATGAAGGTGTTGAAAAATGAAATTTGATGATTTAGATTTAATTGGGACCCAACGTTTTCTTTCCATTCTCGACCAAAAAGAAACCTGCAACCTTACATCTTTTTCAAATTCTTACCCTTTCCATCTTTACCCAATGGTTGTTGAGGTAGATCTCGCCGGAAACCTGCAGATGAACTTGCCTCCGACGAACCTCCTCTTCAGCAGTGTGGAGTTGACTTGTTAAACATCCTCCTCCTCCCCCCTCCCACGGTGTTTACAAGCTTTCTCCCTGCACTTGTTCCATGGAGAGTTTAACTTCACCAACAGTCTCGACAAGCTACTGATTCACAAACAAAAATGGTATCAGTTTTCACAGTGGACCTACACTTCTTGACAGTGTTTGAGTCCCTGGTATAAAACTGTCATCCAAACTTGTTCTGTCTGGTTTTTCCTACTCTCTATCTTTGTTAGGTTCAAGCTCCTACAAAGGAAGGTGTTGTTCTTCCCCCTTGTGCCAAGTTCCTCTGCAAAAGTTAACCTTCTCAAGCTTCCCCATAAGACCCACACCACCTCCGACATTCTCTTTTGCTTCTGCCTCTATAGGCGTGAGTATGAATCATGGGCGAATCTACGTGAGCTGAGGAGGGGGCTGTTGCCCCATAAAAAAAAATTATTGATCTTTTTTTTAACTAAATAAAATCTCTATCATGAATTTTCTGTTTTTTGCCCCCACAAAATAGCCCATTCAATTATATCATCTAAAGCCCATTTTAGAAATATAATTATTGTTTTTACTAAATTGACAAAATTATACTTACAATTAAAAACCCTAATCAAACTTTTTTTTGTCAAACGTGTGTTGTTCTCGTCTTCTTCAAGTTCGAACAAGAGGTAATTTTTTGTATTTGTTAATTTGTTCTTTTATTCATGTTTCATAGTTAATGTTTTATTATAATGGGGTAATGAAAGCTAAAGGTTGATACATAGAGCCAGCTGCAAACATCGAATACATATTTATACAATTAACAATTCAACTGATTTTTTATAAACGGTGTCCCTTGATAATTTTAATATTGATTTGTTTCACTGACTCTGATGTTATGATGATGATAACGATGATGAACTACTGATGATGATAAAATAATGTAAATTTCTCAGTCAACAATCAACATTCTCGTCTCTTTTATTTGTCAAAGTGAAGTTTAAAATTCAAATCTTTGAATTATATTCCTTAACACAGTTTTTTTTTTCCAGAAATAACCAATGGAAAAATACTATAAGAAAGTATCTACTGCAGTACCTGAATCTAGTGTTGATGATCTGCCACTGCCTAAATCTGATGAAAGGATAGATAAAAGAAAAGCTTCTTCAGTACCTGATACCAATATTGATGATTTGCCATCTGACCCTGGTGAAAGGAAAGATATAATGGATTACCCTGCAAATCAAAGAGACGAGGTTAGACGTAGATATCTAACTAAAGGTCCATGTCAACCTTATGGTCATAAATTTAAAAAAATATCAAAAGGAGGTGGAACAAGAAGATTCAATCCAGCTTGGTTTGATCAATATGGTAGTTGGCTAGAGTATAGCATATCTAAAGAGAGTGCATTTTGCTTATATTGCTATTTATTTAAAGATGAGATACGAATGCAAGGTGGAAGTGATGCATTTGTGAAAGAGGGGTTTAATAGCTGGCAAAAGCCCGAGAGATTGCTTACTCATATGGGTAAACCACCCAACAGTTGTCACCTTATTGCTGCTCAGAAATGCGAGGATTTGATGAATCAACATCAATCTATAGTACATGCTATGTTTAAGCTAGATGATAAGGTGAAAACTGAGTATCGTATTCGCTTAAATGCTTCGATTGATGCTTCAAGATTCTTGTTACGACAAGGATTACCTTTTCGTGGCCATGGTGAGAAAGAAGATGATGCGAACAAAGGAAATTTCTTGCAGCTTTTGAAATACACAGGAGAACAAAATGATGCTATAAGTAAGGTTATTCTGAAAAATGCTCCAGGAAATAACCAGATGATTTCTTCTAAGATTCAAAAAGATATTGTCCATTCCTTTGCAGAAGAAGTACGACAAGCTATTTTAGAAGAAATTGGTCATGGTGTGTTTGGTTTGCTGGTTGATGAATCTGCTGATGTGTCTCATAAAGAACAGATGGGTGTTGTTTTTCGGTTTGTTGATAAAAGGGGAGCAATCAAGGAACGGTTTATTGGAGTTGTTCATGTACAAGAAACGTCTTCATTAGCTCTGAAATCTGCTATAGATGATTTGTTTGCTAGATATGGTATGAGCATTACAAAGGTGAGAGGACAAGGTTATGATGGAGCTAGTAATATGAGGGGTGAGTTTAATGGGTTGAGATCATTGGTTGCTAGAGAAAGCACTTCAGCATATTATGTTCATTGTTTCGCTCATCAGCTTCAGCTAGTTGTGGTGGCTGTTGCAAAAAAACACTTTGACATTGCTGATTTTTTTGATATGATTTCTACGTTGTTGAATGTTGTTGGGGCTTCTTGTAAACGACAAGATAAATTCCGAGAAATTCAGCGTGAAGAATTAGAAAAAGGAATCAAGAGTGGTGAAGTTAAGACTGGGACAGGACAAAATCAGGAACGTTCTTTAGCAAGACCTGCAACTACTCGTTGGGGTACACATCACAAAACATTGTTGAGGCTGGAAGAATTGTTTTCTACTACCATTAAAGTTCTTGAGTATATCCAAGATGAGGGTTGGGAAGACTTACAGAAACGTCAAGCATGTGGTCTTCTCAAATACTTCCACACATTTGATTGTGTGTTCTATTTGCATCTTATGTTACTTATTTTGGGTCTCACAGCGAATTTGTCATTGACTTTGCAACAGAAAGATCAGGATATTTTGAATGCTATGTCACTGGTAGGATCCACTAAACGAGAGTTGCAGAAGCTTAGAGATGATGGTTGGGATTCACTTATGGCAAAGGTTGCTTCCTTTTGTAAAAAAC